GAGTTTAAGTACAGGCGTATCTTGGAGATGTTGCGGAGGTGAAGTCTACAAGATTTGGACAGTGATTGGATTTGAGGCTGAAAGGACAGATGGGAGTCCATGATTACCCCTAGTACCCTGGCATGAGGGGAGGGACTGATGGTTGTGTTATTGATCTTGATGGAGAAGTCAGGGGAGGGGGCACGGGCTGGAGGGAATAGTATGAGCTCCGTTTTGGAAAGATTTCATTTGAGGAAGTGGAGTGACATCCATGCTGATATGTCACTTAGTAGGTTAGTATAGCGAGAGACTGAAGGGGTGAGTTGAGGAGTAAAAAGATATATTTGTGTGTCATCAGCATAGAGATGGTCACTTTATAAACTCCCATGGCTTCAAGTACCAAGGGAGGAGGTGTAGATGGAGAAGAAAAGGGGTCCAAGGACAGAACCTTGAGAGACCCTACAGAAAAAGGGAGTGGAGAGGAGGAGCCAGAGTTATAGGTAATGCTGAAGGAGCTCTGCGATAGGTAGGAGGAGAACCAGGAGACAGCAGAGTCTCGCAGGTCAAGAGTGGAGTTTTTTGAGGAGGAGGGGATGGTCAACAGTATCAAAAGCCACAGAGAGGTCAAGTAGTAAGAGTATGGAGTAGTGGCCATTGGTTTTAGCAGTTAGTAAATCATTAGTGAGTTTTAGTAAGGCAGTATCAGTGGAGTGTAGTGAGTGAAAACCAGACTGTATAGGGTCAAGAAGGTTGTTGTCAGTGAGGTAGGAGCTCAGGCGATTGTAGATTAAGCGTTCCTAGAGTTTAGAGGTAAACGAGAGCAGGGAGATGGGTCTTACGTTGTTCAGGTTGGTGGGGTCCAGTGAGGGGTTTTTTAAGTATGTGAGTGATCTGTGCATGCTTTAGAGGTGTGGGGAAGGAACCATTAGAGAGGAAGAGATTGAAGATGTGAGTGAGGGAGCATAGGACAGAATAAGAGGGTGACCGTAGTAGTTGAGAGGGGACAGGATTCAGGGGGCTTCTGAGAAAACTTTGGTGACCTCTTTAATAGTAGCAAGGTCAAAAGAGGAAAGTGTTGAGGGAGGTTTAGTATAAGGTATTATAAGTGGGATAGATCTCTGTATAGCGGAGATGCCCCTGCGGATTGCATCAATCTTGTTTTTGAAATGATTTGCAATCTCGTAAGCAGTAAGTGAGTTACTGGGTGGAGGTGGAGAAAGTAAAGAATTAAAAGTAGAGAAGAGATGACGAGGAGTGGATGATAAGGTATTTATAAGAGTGACAAAGTAGGCTTGTTTGGCAACATGGAGGGAGGAATTGTAGGTTAGGAAAGCAGATTTATATAGGGTGAATGCTTGCTGAGATTTGGTTTTACACCACAATCGCTCCAGTGCACGACTATGTCGCTTAAGATTTCTGGTGTTGTCAGTCTGCCATGGTTGTAACGGTTGGGGCCTGATACTTTGCGTAGTTAGAGTTGCAAGTGAGTCTAGTGTGGATGAAAGTGAACTGTTGTAGACAGCAGTGGCCAGGTCAGGGCAGGACAGGGGAGAGATTCTGTCATAGAGGCAGTGAGTTGCAGAGTGGAAAAGACAGGGGTTTAAGTTGTGAAGGTTTCTGCAGGTAATTGTTTGCTGCTTGGAGGGGTAAGTGTTTTTAGACAAGGACACTGTAAAGGTGATGAAATTGTGATCAGAGAGTGGAAAGGGGGTGTTTGTGAGGTTGTAGGGAGTGCAAGGACGGGAGAAAACAAGGTCTAATGTATTCCCATCAGAGTGAGCAGAGGACTGTGTCTATTGTGTTAGGGCAAAAGATGAGGTTAGGTTGAAGAGCTGGGATGTAGCCGGATTTTTCACATTAATGGGGATGTTAAAATCTCTAAGAATGATAGTGGGTATTTCAGAGGAGAGAAAGTAGAATAGCCAAGCAGAGAAGTCATTAAGAAAGTGCAATCCTCAGAGAAATGGGAGAAAACAGTCAAATGCGGTGAGTCTCGAAAGCAGAGAAGGATAGAGAGGGAGGGTTAGGGAGGACTTGAAAGGTGCTCAGTGGGGATAGAAGCAAACCAACTCCACCTCCTTTCCCACCACTGGGTCTGGGTGAGTCCAGAGAAGGCTTCCATAGGAAAGTGCTGTGGGAGAAGCAGAATCTTATGCTTGAAGCCAGGTTTCTGTAATTGCTAGTAGGTTAAGGGAGCAGGAGACAAAAAGGTCATGGACAGAGGTGAGCTTATTACAAACAGAGTGGGCATTACAGAGTGCACATGAAAAAAGGAGAGTGGTTTTTTATGAGCATGGGGATTGAGATTAAGTTGAGTGGATTGTGGCTATTCCCGGAGGAAGGAGGGTGCCTAGTGTGGGGGTGAGATACTGGAGGACTAGGGATTGGGGCAGCACAGTGACTAAATGGTTAGCACTTCCGCCTGGCAGTACTAGGGTCGTTGGTTCGAATCCCAACCACGGCACCACCTGCCTGAAGTTTGCATGTTCTCCCTGTGCCTGCGTGGGTTTCCTCCAGGTACTCCGGTTTCTTCCTACACCTTAAAGACACGGTGGTAGGTTAATTGGCTCCGGTCTAAATTGGCCCTAGTATGTGTATGTATGAATGTAGGTTAGGGAACTTAGACTGTACACCCCTTGAGGGTTAAGGACTGATATGAATGCACAATATTTATATGAAGCACTGCGTAAATGGACAGTGCTATATAAGTACCTGAAATAAATTAAATAAATAAATATTCCCAGAGGTTAGGAGAAGGAGGGTGAGGAAAGTAAAATGGGAGAGGGATGTATATGAGTGCACATGCCTTCCTGTCCCTGGTGTTTGGGTGAGCAGGTGAGTAAAGTATCAGTAGGAGGTGATAGCAGTAGTAGGGAGATAGTAGATGTGAGGGTGAGATGTATAAGCTTTGGGGTGGAGCAGAGGGGTAAAGAAAGGGGATTTTTAGAGCAGAGGATAGTAATATGAAAAAAGGTAGATGGAGTGGGAATCAAAAGAGATGTTTCCCAGGGTGTTTGCTCACAGTCCATCCAGTGTGCAATAGAGTTCTTTGTTGTATCTTCCTTCTGCTTGAGTTATTCTGCTTTAGCTAAACTGCTGTGTTCAACTGTTTTGCACTCCAGCAGAAAATGCACTCACACAGGACAATGCCCCCCCCGTGGCCTCCCCATAAGCTGATCTAAATTTATAGGGGGATAATCAAATGAGCAACTCCTTGTCGCCCCAATTAGGAACTGAACTGATATGGACCACATGAATTTGGGGGGAGGATGGTCAAAACCAGTCCAGACACAGATATAGGCCAAAGTCATAAAAGATGTTTAATTCTCTGATCACAGAAAGGCAAAGGAGGTGAGAATCAATCACCACAAACAGGGAAAAAGATATAGGACTAATTATCCTTAGTTTTTGCAGGAAGTTATTGTATTACAAGGAGACAGTTTAAGGTGGAGATCACATAACAGCATTTACCTGTGAAAAAGCAGAGAGGACATGATCAGGGAGCTGTGTTTCAGCTGCTGTTTTGCACTTCAGGAGAAAATGCACTCACGCAGGACAATGCTCTGCGACTGTACCCCCCATCATTTACACTGTGCCATGTACATACAGAGAAAGTAATGATAGCAAACACCTGGTATCAGCCCTACCTCTAAGCATTCAAGCAGTGAAGAATAGTTAGACACTTCAAAGTGTCATTAAACCCAAGACCCTGCATTCACTATATCTGGTCTCCCACAGTACACACTACATGGAAATGCAATTATTTTAGTAAATATAAACTGCTAAATACCTTCTTCTCATCAGCAGTTAGAGCAGTCTTGTGACTTCTATCAGTGTCCAGCAGAGCACTGGTTAAAGCTTGTAGAAGAAGTTTTCATTCTGCTCTAGGAGGATGCAGGACCCCTGGCCTCTGTCTGGACAGTGCTGATTGGCCCCGTGCTGATCACATGCACTCTCCCAAGAAAAAAAAGACATGTTTAGCAATACACACTAAACTGAGCATGTGGGAGGGAGACAGTGGAAGAAGGGGAGGATCAGAGAAGTCAGGATCGAACAACGTTTTTACACAATGCGGAGGAATAACCCCTTAGGTTCCACAGTGAGTAGAACAAGCATACTTTACTGCATATACAGACTGATTTTACTGTTGTGGGTTTAGTAACACTTTAAGAGGCCACAATTTCAAAAAGTTTAATAAGTAGGCATATATTTTGACCCTTTCTTAGCAGTTATTTTGTGTGTGTTGAAGGGTGATAGGAACACCGTCAGAACCGTGTATAAAAGTTAGTTTAATCTTCTAGTAACATTGACAGGCTGTGCACTTGGACATTCAGAATCAGTTCTGAATAAACAAAGCAACAAATCATTTCATACTGCTCTGGGATCTTGGTACCAGCCACTGTAAGGTCTCTGCATTGGACTTTTACAAGTCCTTAGATGTGGTAGCAGCGTTGGTTTTCTTAATACTTAATTATTTTCCTGTACTTGCAGAAAATATGTTTCCATATCTAAGGACTGGTAAGCTGAAATGCATTTTTGGATTTAGATACACTTTAAGCACCAATCCTGTTTGGGTTCAGGTTAGCTTAAGGGTTAGGTTTTAGGCTTTGGTTAGGTGTATAGTTTAACTACTTGCCAACCGCAGATAGCCGAATGACGGCTACACTGCGGCCGGCCAGTTCTGGGACGGCCTCATATGACGTCCTCCCAGAACGCACTCTCCTGCACGCCTCCGGCGATCTCCGTGATCGCTGAGTCCTACAGACACAGCTGATCACGTGATGTGGTAAAAGGCCAATCACAGCGGCCTTTTACCACGTGATCAGCCGTGTCCAATGACACGCTGATCACCGGGAAATGCAATTGCCGGTTCTCGGCTGCACTTTCCTCACGCTGTCAGAGCGTGAGGAAAGTACTGCTGAGAACTGGCAGTTGTCAGAGCAGGGATCGGCACCGATCATCAGGGCACTAATGATCAGTGCCCTGATGATCGGTGCCCAGTAGTTCCGCCCACCTGTGACCAGCAGTGCGCCCACCTTTGTCCAGCAGTGCCACCTACCTGTGCCCAGCAGTGTCACCCACCTGTGCCCACCAGTGACACCGATCAGTGCAGCCCAGCAGTGCTGCCAGTCAGTGCCACCAGTCAGTGCCAGCGGTTGTGCCAGTCAGTGCCCAACAGTTGCGCCAGTCAATGCCTAGCAGTGCCACCAGTCAGTGCCCAGCAGTGATGCCAGTCAGTGCCACCTATAAGTGCTGTCTATCAGTGCCGCCTATCCGTGACACCTCATTAGTGCCGCCTATCTGTGCCACCTCATTAGTGCCACCTATCAGTGCCGCCTATTAGCGCCCATCAGTGCTGCCTCATCAACGCACATCAGTGAAGGAGAAAAATTACCTGGTTGAAAAATTTTATAATAGAAACAAACAAAGAAACTTTTTTTTTCTTTTTTCAAATTGTTTACTTTTTGTGCTATAAACAAAAAAAGTGCAAAGTGCCCTGCGGCGATTTAATGCCACCAAAAGAAAGGTCTATTTGTGAGAAAAAAAGATAAAAATTTCATATGGGTACAATCTTGCATGACCGCGCAATTGTCAATCAAAGTGCGGCAGCGCTGAAAGCTGAAAATTGGCCTGGTAAAGAAGGGGGTATAAGTGCCTGGTAGGCAAGTAGTTAAAGGAGAACTATAGGCAAAACCTTTTTTTTTCAGTTTGGATAGAGTAACAAAGGGTCATAACCCCTGTCCTCTTTTTTTTTTTTTTTTTGGTCATCTGTGTCCCATTGGTGAGATTTGCCTTAATTTCCTGTCACATAGCCACAGTGGAATGTGAGAGGAAATTCCTGCAAATTAAGGGAAGCCCTTGGGGACCCCCAGGCCACCAGAAACAGTGCCATCATTGGAAGATTTACTTTCCTGGGGACAACCCAAATTTTGGGGTTTCCTTTTATTCTCACTTTCAATGATAATGCCTGCCTTTAGTCGATCTTTGAAAACTCACTTATTCAGAGAAGCCATCCCACCTCCACCTAAGAACTGTACTCGAATCACCTCCATCAGATCATCCCTGCAGCTATCACCTTTTGTACCACCTCCCCCTTCCTTTAGATTGCAAGCTCCATGAGCAGGGCCCTCCTATTCCTTCTGTACTGAACTCTATTGTTATTCTACTGCCCCCTATATATTGTAAAGTGCTGTGCAAACTGTTTGTGCTATATAAATCCTGTATAATAATAATGGAAATAGGACAAATAGAGAGGGTGAATCTAATAAATAGAAAATAATCCATCCCCTCTCTGTCCAAAAAAAAGTTTTGCCTTTAGTCATACTTTTAAGTGTACAATTTTAGGTGCTAAGGATTTATGGGTTAATGTAGTGTTAGTTTTGAAGCTAGAGGGGGAATTAGATTAACCACTTCAATACCAACATGATAAACTCCCTTCCTTGGTGTGCAGTTTTTCCATTTTCAGTGTTGTGATACATTCACGAACAATTATTTGATCATGCAACTAACTACCCAAATTAATTTTACATAATTTTTTTGAGACAAATCGAGCTTTTAATCACCACTTTTTTTTTCTTTACTATATAAAGGAAGCAAAAATAATTTCACGAAAAAACGGTTTCCCTTATGTTTTCTTATAAAACATATCGAATAATAGCCTTCATCATACATTTAGACCTATGTATATTCTGTAGGGGATATCAAACTAAAAATGTACAGGTTGGAGGTGGTGTATACATTCTGTGTGGTTGGAGGGGGGCATACTTACATATGTACAAGTTGCAGTAGAGTATACATTCTTGGGGGGGGGGGGGGGGGGGGAGTAATACTCAAACATTTACAGGCAAAGGGGGTGTATATAGATTGCCAGCGTTTACACTTGTGGTTGCTTGTTAATGGTATTCACAAGGCATAGAGCTATTTTGATTGGTTCTTTGAATTTCGCCTAGCATCCGACCAATCAGGAGGTGGTAAAGCATGAGGGTCATAAGGAATAAGTGTAAAGATTAGGTTGGGGTTAAGTGTTAGAGACGTCAATTCAGATTCTTACAGGTATGTTAACCACTCCCCGACTGCTATAGCCAAAAGACGGCTACAGCGTGACTCTCCAGTCCTGGAAGGATGTCTATGGATGTCCTCCCGTGTGTCCCCAGGAGCGCACATCCTGCGCACTCTGACCATTGTGTCTTTTGGACACAGCTGATCACAGATCAAGGTAAAGGGCCAATCACAGCGGCCCCTCACTTTGTGATCCAGTCACAGCTGGTCATATGTAAACAGACTTGCTGGTTTTCTGTACTCCTTTCCTTACACGCTGTCTGAGGAAAGGAGAGCCGATAACCGGCCAGTCTGACAGGGCACAGTGGGTACATTGTTTACACTGATAATCAGGTCATTCATCATCAGTGCCCATCAGTGGAGAAGAAAAATTACTTATTTGCAAAACTATATAACAGAAACTAGTAAAAGTTTTTTTTTTTTTTTCAAAAATTTTCAGTCTTTTTTCATTTATATAGCAAAAAATAAAAAACTGTCGGTGATTAAATCTTACCAAAGGAAAGCTCTACCAGTCTCCAAAAAATTATACAAATCTCATTTGGATACAGTGTTGCATGACCACGCAATTGTCATTCAAAGTGTGATAGCGCTGAGATCTGAAAATTGGCCTGGGCAGGAAGGGGGTTAAAGTGCCCAGTTTTGTAGTGTTTAACCCCTTCATAAATTAACCCCCCCAGCAAGTTCCCCATACTTGCAGGGTGTAAATTACAGTTCTGTCTGTATCGGCTACAGCAGGCTTTGTAGATCAATTTAACCTCCTGTAGACAACTGCAGAAGACCCAGCTGAAGACCCTGCCTGATTAATTTGTAACCACTTAGAGTGGTCACGGACCATGTGCTCATTAGGATCAACACATTATTCATGATGAACAAAGAAATGTTTGTGTGCACCTTAATAAACATTCCTGCTGCCTGTTACTTGTTAGCAGGTTCTCTTTGCTCACAGCCACTTCAGTTGTAAGAGGAGCTCTGTGACAGCAAGTGTAAAATGTGAAAAAGCACAAAATTATTTTATTTAAATCATCTCTAAATTACAGCTATTGAGCAAGGTCATGGAAAATGCATAATATCTTGAAATCTAAAATGTAAATACTTTGTTGTCCACCACACATTGCTGAAATATGTAACAAAAACCTACACATAGTGGTTGTCCCTGTACTTGGAATAAACAGGAGAAAATAATTTCATTAAAATATTTCAAATAATATTCTAGAAAAAAAAATCTGCAATAAACAAACTAAAACTGCATTTGTTGCATTGTTTTTTTCTCTATTTATTTTAAAAATATTTTCAGGGTATTTTTTTAAATTCCCACATGAAGGCCCTGTGTGTGCCTAAAAAGTGGAGTGAAATCATTTTGGTGTTTAGAGCAGTTAAAAAGTTATTTTCCAGTAAACCAGCGTATTCCAAAACAACAAAACATTGGTCTGGTCATGAAGGTTTAGATCGTCCTGGGACTTAAATGAGTTAACATGCTTTTACTGTGAAGGCCATATCAAGAAATGGGATTGCAGAATGCATGCCCAGGCAGTCAGGAAGTTTTTTTGACAAGCAACAAGGCGATCTAGTTAGGGATATTACACCTGATTGCGGTGAGGTTGGTATAAAAATCGGAGGGGGCTGGGGGTGCATACATAGAAGTGTTGTGTTGAAAGACTTTGAATTTACCTATGGGGTAAGGTGTCTCTCTAAGATCTCTGTGATCCCAGCACTCTTCTTTCCAATCTCTTTCACATTACTGTGTCAAGGTACAGCCAGAAGAAATTACATCCTCTTTTACTGCATAAAAGGTTGGATAGGCATAAGGTAACAGAGCAGAAAATGTATTACTGCAATCTCTCAATATCTCTGCAGTAAATCAGCATTGTGTATGGTATGGAGTTTGTTCCATAAAATGGATATTAGCTCTAGGATCTCGGTTACACTAAAGGGGTCGTTTCAAAACAGAATTTACAGTTTTACCTGGTGTGTTCCTTTAACCGCTTCTTAATTCTTGAATAGAGTTATACCTTTATGATCTGTGCGGGGGTGGTGTTCAGGCACAGTATGTTAGTATTTCTCTGGTTTTTGGCTTCTTATGGGAACTAGGGGAAAGTCTGTGTTAAGAAGACACCGTTTTTGCCATTAATCACCAGCTGGAGGTCCTCATTAATATACAAGATTTATATAGCACCAACAGTTTGTGCAGTGCTTTACAATCTAAAGGGAGACAGTACAGTTACAATGCAATAAAATACAAGATGGTTAAGAGGGTGTTGCTCATAAGAGCTTACAGTCTGATAGTGTGGGCCAAGTGGTACAAAAGGTAATAACTGTGGGGGATGAGCTGATGGAGGAGTTAAAAGTTCAGTTGTGATAGGCTTCCCTGGAGAGATGAGTTTTCAGGTATCGGAGTAAGAGATAGACAGACAGATAGATTGAGGTAGAGAGTTCCAGAGGTTGGAAGAGGCTCTGGAGAAATCCCAGATATGAGCATGGGAGGAGGAGACAAGGGAGCTAGAGAGCAGATCTTGGGAAGAGCAGAGAGAGCGGTTTGGGTGATATTTGGAGACAAGATTGGTGATGTAGCTTGGGGCAAAGTTTTTTTTGGATGGCTTTGTATGATGTTAGTATTTTGAATTTAATTTGCTTGGGCAATGAAAATGTGAAGCTCCACTGCATTTCATGGGTTCCAGGTTGTATAAATGACGCACAGGTTCCAGACTAATCATTTAAACATTAATGTAAAACTATGCCTTGATGCAGGAAGGCTCACATTTTAGTTAATATGCTTTAACCACTTGCTGACCGCAGATAGCCAAATGAAGGCTTCACCGCGGCCAGGCAGCTCTGGAAGGGCGTCATATGACGTCCTCCCAAAACTCGCCCTCCCATGCGCCCCCAGGGGCGCACACCAGGCAATCTCAGTGATCGCTGTGTCATACGGACACAGCTGATCATGTGATGTGGTAAAAGGCCAATCACAGTAGCCTTTTAACATGTGATCAGTCCTGTCCAATGACACAGCAGATCACCGGTAAATGAAGTTGCTGGTTATCGGCTGCACTTTCCTCATGCTGTCACAGTGTGAGGAAAGTACTGCCGATAACTGGCAATTGATCAGTGCCCATCAGTGCCACCCACCTGTGCTCATCAGTGCCTAGTAGTGCCACCCACCTGTGCCCAGCAGTGCCACCGATCAGTGCTGCCCAGCAGTGCTACCAGTCAGTGCCATCAGTCAGTGCCACCTATCAGTGCTCATCATTGTTGCATATCCGTACAGCATCATCAGTGCCAGCTCATCAGTGCTGCCTATCAGTGCCCATCAGTGCTGCCTATCCGTGCCACCTCATCAGTGCCGCCTA